GTATTGTTCGCGGATCCGATTGTTTCACGAAAGAAGGACCATAATAATATGTTGCGTTGTGATAATTAAGCGTGGACTGTATTTTTTGAATTAAATATTTATTGAACCTTTATATTGCAAATTAACGACATAATGAAAACTATAAAATTGAAAAATATGGAGTGAAATGAAATGAAATGAAGATGATTAATTTGAGATCAACTGGGATGAAATTAAATGAAATGAACGCGAAATGAAATGAGATGAGATGATATAGGATGAAATAAAATCTCAGTAAAATGGTGGTCATTTACTGGGTTTTTGTCAGTGGACTTTTTGGAGGATCCCGAGAAGTTACGTCCAGCGGCTTTGTTTCATTTTCCCATATTTCTGCATTTTCACCAGTATTTTCTTATGACGTTGTCACGTTCAGCTATCGTCAGTTATTCCATGTAAACTTACGAAAGCTGATTTACATATATATTTTTTTTCAGTACCATTTTCTACAAAATATTTGCAGGTCACTGTTCTAGGTTTTGTCTTTGTTAGATCGTCCGTTTGTTTTGAGGTGTTTTTACTCTCCCATAATTTTTACTGGTGGTAGGACCTCTTGTGAGTCCGCGCGGATAGGTACCACCACCCCGCCTATTACTGCCGTGAAGCAGTAATGCGTTTCGGTTTGAAGGGCGGGGTAGCCGTTATTACTATACTGAGACCTTAGAACTGATATCTTAAGGCGCATTTACGTCGTAGATGTCTATGGGCTCCAGCAACCACTTATTACCAGGTGGGCTGTGAGCTCGTTCACCCATCTAAGCAATAATAAAAAAAACAAGACGAATAAGTCTTCAATGTTAGTTGTGTTTATGTAATAAGTAAACATGTTATAGGAAATATTAATAATAAATCTCGATTTTTATCAGTAACTAGCTGACCCGGCAGACTTCGTAGTACCTCAATCGATAAATAAAAGACCGAACCTTTTTTTATAAAATAAACTTAAAACAAAGAAAAGAAATCCGTCCGACGGGGGATACATCAAAGGAAAAACAAAATTATTTGTTTTTATATAATTCCGAGCATTTACATATTTATTCACCCTTCTCTGGACTTCGACAAATAATTCAAGACCAAAATTAGCCAAATCGGTCCAGCCGTTCTCGAGTTTTAGCGAGACTAACGAACAGCAATTCATTTTTATATATATAGAAGATCGAAGATAGATTAGCTGTTCTGCGATTTCACGTGGATCTGAGTGTTTTTTTAACGTAATAATAGTGGATTGCGATGGCGTTTCTAGTTTCGTCATGAGCGACCACGAGTGTCGCTTGTAAATTAATTTTTAGACAAAAGCAACACAATTATGATGTGACTAAAGATTATTGATAACAACGCCATCTATTGAGCACGTTTGTAAACGTGCTTATAAACATTGTATTGGATAGTGACACCGTTTTTTTTTTCTTTCTAATTCGAAAAGGGATCAATTGTTGTAAATTTAAATTTGGAAAAATATATCAAATGCGTTTCGGTTTGAAGGGTTGAACTATTATGGGCATTGTACTATTAAAACTCAGTCGTGGAACTCGTAGCGGCATTTACGTTGTTGATGTCTATGGGCTCCGGTAACCACTTAACATCAGGTGGGCCGTGAGATCGTTCAGCGATGTAGGCAATAAAAAATAATACAATAATAAATACTACTCAAACTACGCGCCAAAATGGAAAACAGTTGTCCCAAAAAAAAGAACGAATAAAAAAAATGCGTCTTCAACCATAAACAAATTATTCGATACTTTTTTAGCTGAACATATTATATCTTCAAAGATGACCCTCACTTCATTTACCACACAGCCGCAGTAAAAAATTTTTTTTTTAGTTCTGTACTAAACGTGACTTTTCAGGCAACAACTCGAATTCTGTGCAGCCGAATCTGCAATCTTATCGAATAATAAACTAGTTGATATACTCTTTATTTTGAAAAGGTCACAGAAGAGTACAGGCGGACGGGAGCATAAGACTTCCATGATTTTTAGCTTGGACTATGATAATGACATCACATTCAGAACCGAACGTTCTAGAAAACATCTATACGATCTTCTAGATTTAAATATCTAAAACACGCTACAGCTACAACCATTGCTGTATTCATTCCATTCACATGAGATTTATTTAGAAAACGTATCAACAAATATCTCAATATTTTTCATTATTATTATTATTTATTCACTAATAACCCACCTCCCTAAACAATCGGTATCAGTAGAATTAGGTAAACCAATAACCAATAACTGATTTATTAGTTATCTTTCTAAACCATAACTTTAAAAAAAAAATCAAATATTGTTGAAATCATCGTGGTCTAAAGCATAAGACGCCCGGTGCGTTCGTATTGAGCGATGCGACTGTGCCTGTGGTTCGGCGTTTCGAATCCCGCAGCCGGGTGCCGATTTTTCTAATGAAATACGTACGAATGTTCTCGAATGACGTCGACGGTTTTTTCCCTAACTATTCTAGTAACCTCGAGGGGTTATTTTAAATTCACCGAGCTAGTAGATGAGTTCACGGGGCTCAAACCGGGAGCGTTGCTAACACTGGCCCTAACAAGAGCCGTGCTTCGCAGAATCTATCACCGGATCGGAAACGCGACCCACTGAAAAGATCCGGCGAGAAACTCAGTGGGCTGTGTCTATGTATAATCGACGGTGAAGGGATAACATTGTGTAATAAAAATAATAAGCCCGCAAAAATTATAATTTGCGTAATCACTGGTGAAATTACATACCCCGATCCTGTGGACCGAATGGTAAACAATCGACGTCGCTCAAAACACGTCATTACGGATCCTCCCGATCCATTAACGGTGCTTTTAGGTACCACAAGCACCGGTCACCGTCCTCGCCGAACCCGTCGCTTGCGACGAAGGACTCGGCGAGCGAACTGCCCACAGACACAGCAGACTGAGTTTCTCGTCGGATCTTCTAAGTGAGTCGCGCTTTCGATCCGGTGGTAGATTCTGCGAAGCACTGCTCTTGCTAGGACCAGTGTTAGCAACACTTCCGGTTTGAGCCCCTAGAGCTCACCTACACGCTAGGGTAACGCTGATATAGCCTTTTAAGGCTATCAGCATAAGTAGGGTTAAAAAAAGGTTGGGTATCTTCTGGTCCCGCACGGGTGAGTGAATACCCGCCTTACTTATTTCTGCCGTGTACCAGTAATGCGTTTCGATTTGAAGGGCGGGGCACCCGTTGTACTGTAAAAACGGAGACTTGTTAATGTGGGTGGCGACATTTAAGTAACCACATAACACCAGGTGGACAATGAGGTCGTTTACCTATCTAAACATTAAAAAAGTATTTGCTAAATTGGAAAAGAAAAGGCAATAAAATAACAGAATGTACATTATATTTAGCTTCTATCTTCAGATCTATATAAGTCTATAAATTCAAGCATTCAAACGCTGTATCACTCTAACAATTTTTATTGACAGCTTTGACTGTTTCGTGCAACGAAAACGGAAAAGTCGTTTAAAATTTTAAATTCCTAATGCTCAAGAACCGTATTGTCTATCTATGCTAATATTATAAAGAGGAAAGATTTGTTTGTTTGTTTGTATTGAATAGGCTCTGAAACTACTGAACCGATTTCAAAAATTATTTCACTGTTTGGAAGCTACAATATTCCCGAGTGACATAGGGTATAATCTTTTTTGAAAAAAATAGGGATCCTTACCAAAACTCCAATAATATAAACCAAGGTGTAAAAAAAAACCTAAAATAGTCTTTACATCGCGTGCCCTGCGAAAACTATTGATGATAGAATAAAATAATGTACTACGACTTTGTAGAACTTTACAAAAAGTGTCGCCACAGCATATGTCTAACTATTATAGGTATGCCGCAATAAGTGTTCTTCTTGTACTTATATACGCGCGTAAGAAGTTATACTTTATTTTTATTAAATTTATTTCTTTTTTTTTCATTTAAATTTTAATCAATTTAAAAAAAAAACGATTAAACAACATTCTCAAACATATAGGACATCCCTTTTCTTGACATCGTATAAATTCCGTAATTCTCGGTACGGTTCGAAAAGTTCACCTGCGGCTATATTCAGACTCGCCAAGTTTTAACTGGTGGTGGGGTTCTGTGTAGAAGCCCGCCCGGGTTGGTACCACCGTCCTGTCTATTTCTGCCGCAAAACAGTAATACTGTGTTCCGGTCTGAAGGACAGGATAGCCGGTGTAACATACATAAGGCTGCCCATCCAGGCCAGGATAGGCAGCGCATCTGAGTCACTGATGTAGTTTGGATGTCTATGGGCAACGGTTATCATTTCCCATCAGATGAGCCGTAAGCTCGTCTGCCTATCGAAAGCAATAAAAAAAAAAAAGTTACGTCGGTCGTATTGTAATGAGCGATTTAGTGGGCAACTTCATTATGTTAATTTTGTGTCACGGTGCGCGCGCATCGTAAAATTTCACTCTTATCAATTTTTCATAAAGAAGTATAACTTCAAAAAATAAAACAACGTCGTTGAAATTTTTGTTAAAGACCCGAGCGAAGCCGGAGCGGGCCGCTAGTCGTAAATATTCTTATTGAAACTTGCATTGTAATAATGAACTTGGCAACTGGCATTTAATTTTGTCATGATTTAACGAGTGGTTTTCGAGTTATTCTTTATGATGCATATTTAATTGATTTCGACTGATTATTTGGCCATTTTATTTTGTTTTTGGTTAAAATTCTATATTGTTATAATAACTGACCGCCTGATAAATCTACCCTCGCAATTCAATTTAGTCTTCACCGATGAGATGTGGCGAGAATTAGTTTGATGGTCGCTTTGGATAATTCTTGTCGTAAATATTGTTTTTTTTTTTATTATCAAAATTTGACATTTACGTTTTAAACATTTTTCTCACAACGAGTCGAATGTGTTTGTTCGTACTTGTCCGTTACAATTTGTTTTTTTTTTTTTCGACTTAAATATACCCACTAAAATACGGTTATCAATGTCGAATGGTTTCAAAGGCACCGCCAAACTTTAACTTTGATGTTGATGACATCGTTTCACAGTCAAGTGCTCTACCGTCTGTACTGATGCAAGTTGCTTGCATCGCTCCATCTAACTATATTTTTTCAGAACCTCCGGACTTTTTAGTTGAAGACATATCGCTCATCTATAAGAATGAAAAGTTATGCAATGCCGAGGATAATAAGACCGAGGAATCGTCAACGGTCCAAAATTCCCACTCGAATAAGGCGGCAAAGTTTTCATCTGAATCTGAGAATTCGTCAGACTACTTCCTGCCCGTTAAGAGAGAAGGTGAATCAGTAAAAGCACCGACACAGCGCGATTTTAGTTCCGAATTCAATGTCTCTGCTGCCCAAGAAGGCCGAAGCATTGAAGGTGAGTCCGAAAATCTTTCACATTTAAATTCGGAATGTGCCGAAAAGTCCTCGGGCAGATTGGAATGTGTACCGAAAACACGAGGAAATGAGGAACATAAAGTTTGATTGTGAGAGAGACGCGACGGAAAGCGGCTCAATAGAGATCGTAAATTAAATTTGAACGGAGCTTTAGAATACGTTATTTGAAAAACGGGAAGAATAAAACAAATGAAAGCCCAATTGTTGCCAATGTTCCGTGGGATGTCAGCGAAAATTGACCGTGTAAGAAAGATGACGTTTTAAAGGCCTCTGGGAATTGGGGATCGAAATTTTCAATAGAATTACATTGCGTATTACGTTAAGGAGCTAGAAAATAAAATTATAGTGGGTTTTCCCAAAAAGTATTCCGCTCTGCGATATTGCTTACCGACGATGCGTGAAAATGTCATAACTCAAACTATTAATGTTTGTGGTAATATGTTTCTAAGCTTGTTGGCAATAAGTTAGAATTTCGTTTCAACGTTGTTGGATAGATTTGAGTATTGGAGAGAGTATTGGATTATAGAGAAGGATCGCGGTGGGGATACATTCGAATCGCCCAGTAAAAGAAATCCAAATCCTAATTAAATAGTGTTTTTTTTTCTCACGTGCCGACGCTATGATGAGTAGAGTCGGAAACAAAAGAAACGTGTAAGATATTAACAGATGTGTTTAGATAGATCATTGACTTATATGTGTGCGCTAAATTTTTAAAGAGATTGGTGTCGGGAAGGAACTCCAATAAATCGTAGAGTTAAAGTAATCTGGCGAAATATAAGCGTTGTTCGTATGCCTTTAAAAATCGGTGGAATTTTAGAAGTTGGACACACAATCGAAGTTGTTAGGATATTTATTTCAAAAGATTCATTTCGGATTGTGAAAGCACCAATTTTTAATCCAAGGCTGTCCGTGTGTTGTTTATTCTAAAGAAATATTAAAGCTATCCCAGCCCTATTCGATTTTAAATGTCTGATTTGCAATGGTTATTGCGAGACATAACGGTCCAAATAATTAAGATTTCAAAACTTAATTATATTGTCGTAACGTCCAAATAACCAAAACTGAATCGTATTAGATTGTATTATACTATAAAATATTATTATAAATATTTAATGAAATCATTTAGGAATAAGGATTCTTTAAAGATTTGATCTAAAAATTACATCACAGGTATAGGTTTCAAGAATAAGACAGAATAAACGAATCACAAATTTTGGTCTTAGATGATTGGTTGGCCATTAAATACCACTGACGATTAAATATATAGTAATAAGTAATATTTAAATAGTATACTAATAAATTATATTTAAATAGTATAATTAAATAGTACCCAATGAAATAATAGCCAATTGAGTCGGAGGACATTTGAGAAACACGACTATTTATTAAGTAAACATTTTTATACTCATGTTTTCGTCATTCATTCTGAGTCCTATCATAACATCTCGCTGTCTAGCATAAAGTCAAATATTCAAAATAGCTTTCAGTTAAATTGATCTCCCTTAGATTTTTGTGTGATGAATGAAAGACTAGAAAATTACAAAAGAAAATTACCTACTTAAAAATTAGACTAGAAAAGAAATATATAAAGCAGTGCACGGAACAGTTTCTAGTTTAAGGCAGTTATGATTGTACTGGCAGAATTGTTAAAAATCAAATATGTCGCACCTTTAGTATTATAAAGACCCAACTCAAAAATGCGTTTTTTTTTAAAACATCGATTAAAGTTCTCAAACCAAAAAACGTAGAGCAAGGGGACGGAGTGAAAGAGACCAATGGATAGCTTTGGTCGCTTTACAAGCTACTTCTGGTCATTTAATTTTTAAGAGTCGCTGAAATTATTGCTTAGATGGGTGGCCGAGCTCACAGCCCACCTGGTGTTAAGTGGTTACTGGAGCCCATAGACATCCACAACGTAAATGCGCCACCCACCTTGAGATATAAGTTCTAAGGTCTCAGTATAGTTACAACGGGTGCCCCACTCTTCAAACCGAAACGCATAACTGCTGTACGGCAGAAAAGGGCAGGGCGGACTCACAAGAGGTCCTACCACCAGTAATTACGCAAATTATAATTTTGCGGGTTTCATTTTTGTTCTAGGTCCACTTTTTAATGGATATAGACGAAATCCAAAAATTTCGAAATGGGTCTCTATAATTCTAAAGGTGCGATGTGTCCTTTTAAATACGTGCAGCAGTTAATGCAATCATGAAAACATTCTCGTGTCTGTCTCATCTTGCTTTAAAAAATGACTGATAAAATACTTTAGTAGCAAAAAGTCTTCAGACTGGAGATCTGAGGTCACGTACTTATTTCAAATCTTCGAATTTAATATCTCACATAGAAGTCGATGTACTTAAGACGTGTGCCATTTAAGCTTTCTTTGAATTATTTGTCCGACAACTTAGTAAGTTGGGGGGGGGGGGGTTCCATGTAAAAAAACTTTAGACTAATTTGTACCGTAAATTTAACCTTAAAATTTCTGATATAAAGATGAAAGTTAGACTCATTGACACAAACAAAGATAAATACAGAATGATGACAGAATTACAGACAGACAGATTACACATTAACGTTAGGCAGCGGCTTGGCTCTGCCCTGGCATTGCCAAAGTCCATGGGCGACGGTAACCACTCACCATCAGGTGGGCCGTATGCTCGTCTGTCTACAAGGGCAAAAGATATATATTTGTATATAGCATTCGTTTATACGCAGATTTCTTGACACTTTTTCTAATCCAATCACCTTTTATACTGTCAAGTATATCTCTATAAATCAGTTGTGACTATAACTAATAAACTATGGCTCGGCTATTAATTTCTGGGCGGTAACAATTCTCATCACTTGCTGATAACTTTGGATATATCTGGGGCTTTTTAATATGTAAAAGTAATCAAAATAACAATTTTATTTAAGTTTGGTTTTACTGATACATTCGGAAAAGTTTTCATCACTGAAAACAGTTGATAAGAAATTTAAGGTTTTCACTTTTCTAATTAATACAGGTTTAAGTTCATTATGCTTCATATGTATTTACAAATAGGTAAATGAAAACCAAAAGTATTATAGAATACATTTCAAAATCAGTATATAGTTATAATTATCGTTATTTATAATCTTTCTCGACAAATTAAAAAAATTATTACTTTTAGGAATTGATGACCAGCTCGCGTGTAGACTAATAGACAGTTTCAAATCTATAATATTATACATGGATATGTGTGTCAGACAATTTTTAGGATTAAATATTCTTGCAGTAATTGATCTATCTAGATAGCACAAAAGTACAGAGTCTAAAAAGTACAGAGAAGCCTTTTTTTCATATATATTTTTTCAATAAGTAATCAATTTTATTTGTTAATCATCTTGTGATGAGTAGTTGTAAAATATCAGAATACCTGCTTAATAAGGATATGAATGTATACCTCCGCGATTCTTGAACACATTGGCATCGACCCCAAATGTAATGTAATCTTAAAAACGATTTCTTTTACTAAAATATGTATAACGTTTTCAAACATTCCAACACTGAATTATTAATGTTCACAAATTAACTATGAAATCGCTAAATCGAACGCTAAGCAATATCGAAGTGACGGAGACGACGATGTATCGACGAAAAATAAAATAAAATAAAAGTTATATAAGACGAGCGATTCGTAAAATAGCGCCCCGAAGACCGCACTAGAAATAAGGATACCGTAAAGTGGCCGAAGTATTGAGATGTGCTCTCGTTTCTGTTGTAGGAACGGGCGGAGCCGCTCCGAAAAAACGAAGAGAAGACGTTAGCGCCACCCCAGAACGCGTAGAGCACAGGGTCAACCTGACCGCCATACTACAGTATTCGAACGCTAGCCCATTCCGAGACAAGACCATGCGAGGGTTCTCCTGCCTTTACTGCGCCAAAGCGTTCCCGAACATCGACGAACTAAGAGAGCACACCGCACAGCAGAAGGAGAAGAACAAAATCAACAAAATGATCGACTACAAGCTCAGCTACAACCCGATCAAAGTCGACATCACGAATCTGCGTTGCACCGTATGCGATTTGCCCCTGAAGGATCTCAACGAACTGAAAGACCACATCGTCACTGTACACAATAAAGTCATCCATAAACACATAAAGGACATCATCCTGCCGTTCCGTCTCGGAGACGGAAGCAATTTCACTTGCGTTTTGTGTTCGGTCGTTCATATATCATTCAAGAATCTCTATCATCATATGAGCAGTCATTACAGGAATTATTGTTGCAATAAATGCGGCGTTGGGTGCATTACAATAGCGGCGTTGCGGAAGCACCATAAAACCCACGCTCAAGGCGTATTCACCTGCGACTACTGCGAGAAGACATACGGGTCTCTAACGAAGAAGAGGAATCACGAGAAGGGGGTCCACGAAGGGGGCTGGCTGAGGAACAAATGTCCCCACTGTCCTGAGGTTTTCGTCAGCTACTACGACAGATCCGAACACCTGGTCAAGGTCCACAACCAGACCCCCATCCTGTACCCGTGCAACGCTTGCAACAAAATATACAAAAAGAAATTCGAATTGAATCGACATATAAAGCATCACCATCTACAGCAGAAGAACTTCGTCTGCGACAAATGCAACGCCATGTTCTTCTCGAAACGCGGCTTGGTGGATCACATAGCCAGGCACGAGGGCGCGGAGATGTTCTCGTGCGATATATGCGGCAAGTCCTTCTCCCGACTTCGGACCCTCAAAGAGCATCTGAGGATGCACGAAAACGACACTAGATACCAATGCAAAGTCTGTAAGCGGACCTTCATGCAGAAGGGCGGTCTGAAGAATCACGTCCGTCTCCACCAGGACAACTTGGACATCTTCAAGGAGTTCGACGATGTGAAACATTTGATCGATAATCGAGAGTTGACTTTGAAACAGATCGCAGCCGAGAATAAGAAGAAAGAGTTAGCGCAGAAACAACAGGGGTTATTCATGTAGTAATAAAATGAAAAATTATGAAGCTGTGTTTTTAATTTTTAGTAGCTTAGAATTGGGTCACCTTCTTCCTCGTCAAACTCGTCTATTACGATGAAGAGTTCGACGAGCGAACTAATCCACAAACACAGCCCAGTGATTTTCTCGCCGGATCTTCTCAGTGAATCGCGATTCTGATTCGGTGGTAGATTCTGCGAAGTACTGCTCTTACTAGGGCTGGTGTTACCTACCCGTTCAGGCGTAGCTGAAATATCCTCTTAGGCTACTAGCTAATAGGTAGGTCTAGACTAGAGGGGCGAACTAGCTGGCGTTGTGCGGTCATTGGACTCGATGGGCACGGGTATGTCGCGTTGAGTCATGAGGTCACAGTCTCAATAGGAGATCGTACTGATTTTTTAAAGTTAATTACGTTTGATGTCATTTGATTGCGATTCTGGTGGTTAGATTCTGCGAAGCACTGCTCTTGCTAGGGCTAGTGTTATCAAATTGCCAAGTTGAGCCCCCTGAAGTCACCTATATATTAGATGATTCTAGTATAACCCTTTGAGGTTAATAGAATAGGTAGGGATATAAGGCAGGGTATATGACGGCGTGAGTGGTGACGTCGGAGACTGATGGCGTCAGCGACGTGCGCCTCATTGTTATTAGAAACGATGACGTCATTCTGTTTAGTTGTTGTCATTGCCATCCAAAGTGACAGTAAATAAGACTTACTTTTCCAATGAATTCAATTTATTACATTTCAAGTGTATAGCGATAACAACAGAGCTCTGCCGCGTTCGGCTGCTCCAGACGGAATTGCCTACATGGGTGGACGAGCTCACAGCCCACCTGGTGTTAAGTGGTTATCGGAGCCCATAGAAAATGCCGCTACCTACCCTGAGATATGAGTTGTAAGGTCTCCGTTTTTACAATACAACGGCTGCCCCATCCTTCAAACCGAAACGCAGTAGTGCTTCACGGCAGAAATAGGCAGGTTGGTGGTACCTACCCGTGCGGACTCACATGACGTCCTACCACCAGTGGTACGTGAGACGCGGTGATGCGAATGTTTTGTTATTATTGCCATAGCAGGCGGAAAAGCGTCCGGCCTGGTCGCCGCGGTGATCCGAGTATACTAATAAATTCATTACGATTCTGCTAACTTTTCCAACAGTATTTCGTCTTCTCGCATTAAAACTGTATAATATCAAAACTTACTAATTTTACAGGAGTGTTTTAAAGGTTTAACATATTGTGATATTTTTAATATTAATCATCTTTGCAACATTTATTTTTTATTTTTTACCAGTTACATTATCTGTCTTTTAAAATAAGATAAAATTATGTATTAATTTTGTTAATAGTAGTCAAAAACTCAAAACAGGTAAACTAAAAAAAAAAGAGCTAAATACTATGCTCTTTTGACAGTTTTTTATTACCCTTGTAGGCAGACGAGCATACGGCCCATCTGATGGTAAGTGGTTACCATCGTTCATGGACTTCAGCAATACCAGGGGCAAGCCGCTGCCTACCATAAAGTACTCTCCGCAAGCCTCTATTCTCACAGACTTAATAATGAAGTTGAGATGGGAATTTGCATAAGGGGATGAGTTAATAGAATGGATTGGCTGACTCTCACGAGAGGGGTCTTGGCACTTTAGAATTGTGGAGAGAACTTATTGGATTGGATGAATCTTAACCGAAATTCAGTGGTTCTCTCTTTCATGTCCATCCGAACCAAAGCTTATAAGCTATGAGTTCAGAATTAAAGCCCAATTTCGCTTGCAGGCCCAAAAAGACTACGCAATTTTACATTATATAAATGCTCAATGCAATTATTTTTTTTAGATATCCCTAAATACAGTGAAATGTTATGTAACATTTCACCCCTTATTAACTAACATTTTTCATAAAAATAAGAATATAAATTAAAGTAAGACATGACTTAAAGGTCTTAGTTACCAGGTCATAAAATCCCTTAAAAAAATGTTATGTAGTAAATAACAAACAAAAAACAAACGCATACTTACATAATAAATTGTGTCTCGCCACTTCAATAGGAATTATAACTCTTATTGGTATAGCTTAATTATTCATCGAAAATGAATAAAATGATCAATATCATCAGTACAAAAATATTTATTGTGTATTTAATTGTTACGTGAAAATTTTCTTTTTTTTTTACAAATTCAGCGTTTGAAACAATTGTGTGTTCGGAGATCATATAAAAACGCGTGTGAAAGAATATTTTCTCTTTTATAGGAAAGAGGAGGAGAGATAAACGAAAGAACGAATTAAAGGAGGAACGCGACGATAATGTACCGCTTCACAGATTGATAGCTCGCGAACGAAACCTGCCCGAGATGCAGAAGCAGTGGCACAATCTGACGTTACTCCTGAAACATTCAAACGCGACCCCGTTTAAGGATCGCAACGACGCCGGCTTCGTCTGCGCGTATTGTTACCGCATCTTCCAAGATCCGGACACGCTAAGAGGACACACGCACGCCGACCACAAACACCAGAAGCCAGATTACAAAGCGAGCGCCGGCCTGTCGACCTTCGTTGCTTTTTTAGACATAACCGACCTTAAATGCACGATTTGCGAAATGCCTTTCATCACAATAACCGCGCTAATGGAGCATCTATTTTCGGAACACGACAAAAAGTTCTACTTGGGCCTAACGGACTACTTCCAACCGTTCAAGCTGACGCCGGATCAGGACATGAAGTGTTGCCTCTGCGATCAGATCTTCCACAACATGAAGCTGCTGATGCAACACATGAACTTGCACTACAGAAACTTTATATGTACCACTTGCGGGGCCGGTTTCGTCAACAGCTTCCGTCTGTTGAGACACGAGACGACGCACGTTAAGAAGAAGTCCAGCTACGCATGCCGGTACTGCGGGCAGGTCTTCGCTTCTGAATCTAAGAAGAAAGCTCACGTGAACACCGAACACAAGGGGATCGCGGGCGAAAGCGTTTGCCGGATCTGCACAGCGCGATTCAAGAATTACTACCAAAAGACCAGGCATATGGCGCAAGTCCACAACGTTGAGGGGATAAAATGCAGCATGTGCGATAAGAGATTCAATCTGAAGTCCACGTTGGTTTTGCACATGAGAAGCGTGCACTTCAAAGAAAGGCCATATGAATGTTCGGTTTGCAACATGGGATTCTTCATCAAAAGGCACATGTTAGGGCACTATTTGGCCACGCATACAAACGAGCGGAAAGTCAAGTGCGAGGTTTGCGGTAAAGCATACGCCACTGAGAACAGCAAAGGGAAGCATCTGAAGAAAAGCCACGGTTTGACTAAAGCCTCCTTGATCGCTTCGAACGTATCCAAATGATTGTGGTCTGGTGAAATTAGTCGGAACTGCTTTGGAGATTCTTTAGCCCCTTAACTGCTATGTAGGTCACCGATGCCCTAGGGCGACGCATTGTAGAAATTGTTTCCATTTCTGTTACTAACGTTGCCCTCTTCTGTTTTTAATGCATGTCTTAGTCTTTTGAGGTCTCTTAGAAATAGATTCATTCTCAGTATCTTCAGATTTGTCTGTCCCAGAGTCGTTTTTTTTTATTGCTTAGATGGGTGGACGAGCTCACAGCCAACCTGTTGTTAAGTGGTTACTGGAGCCCATAGACATCTATAACGTAAATGCGCCACTCACTTTGAGATATAAGTTCTAAGGTCTCAGTATAGTTACAACGGCTGCGCTACCCTTCAAACCGAAACGCATTACTGCTTCACGGCAGATATAGGCAGGGTGGTGGTACCTACCCATGCGGATTCGCAAGATGTCCTACCACCAGTAATTACGCAAATTATAATTTTGCGGGTTGCAGTTTTTATTACACGATGTTATTCCTTCACCGTGGAAGTCAATCATGAGTATTTGTTGAGTACGTATTTCATTAGAAAAATTATATTGGTACCTGCCTGAGATTCGAACACGGGTGCATCGCTCAACACGAATGCACCGGACGTCTTATCCTCTAGGGCACGACGACTTAGTCTTTTGAGGTCTCTTAGAAATAGATTAATTCTCAGTATCTTCAGATTCGTCTTTCCCAGAGTATATTAGATATTCCGGCGCCTTAATAACAGAAATCGACATAATTATAATACTTAATTGCGTCGCGTAGGGCACAGGTGACCTACACCGCGGTGAAAGGCTTAAGCCCTATTGGATCTCTTTATTTTCTGAATATTAAATAGATAGTGAATTTTATTGATTGTGGTGATGTCCTAGTTTAAATTTACGTGTGATGATTTTACATTGTTGATTTGAATGTATGTAATGTAAATAAGATTTTTTTTAAAAGAAATTCCTTGCTTTTTTCTTATTACCCTTTTCTCGCAATGCTCTGTCAGATATCGGATTGATTTTCATGTTCAATTTGGGGTGAGTTGTCTATACTAATATTATAAAGCGGTACGATTTGTTTGTTTGTTTGTATTGAATAGGCTCCGAAACTACAGAACCGATTTGAGAAATTCTTTTACTGTTTGGAAGCCACACTATTCCCGAGTGACATAGGCTATAATCTTTTATGAAAAAAATTAGGGATCCTTACTAAAACTTCAATAATGTAACCCAAGGTGTAAAAAAAATACGTAAAATATTCTTCACATCGCGTGCCCTGCGAAAATATCGATGATAGAATAAAATAATGTACTACGACTTTGTAGAACACATTATTATTTACAAAAAATGTCGCGACAGCATACGTCTAACTATTATTGCTATGCCGCAATAAGTGTTCTTTTATTTAAAAAAAAAAACTTCAAATATCGTTCAAATTTTTGCTAAAGACCCGAGCGGAACCGGAGCTAGCCGCTAGTCTTTAATAAAATTGCTGTAACAACTTACAAAGGTATTGTACAGTCGCTTAACGAATCCCTTTAAGAAAAAACAAGCGTATGTACAACAGATGCAAGTGATCGACTAATGGAAGTTAAATTATAATTATTCATAAATAATTCGTTATCCCTGCTTATTTTTTAAAGCTTTACAATTCTATTTCATATATTGAATTGTGACGTCAAAGTTTATGCGCCTCGTACAAGTTTTATTTAAACTAACGCTTGCTTCGTGCAGAAAGAGAGGATCTTAATTATCTCAGATCATAGGTTCTCAAAGTTGGTCGCTACCCAGCGCGGGCTGGGGCTGAGTGAGCGATCTAAACTAAGTAATATGGGGAAAAGTGGTTGCTAAATAAAAATCGGTGGGCGGTGGAAAGCGGTGGAACAAGATAAAAAATCCTTGCATTACCTACCACTTTTTTAATAGAGCATGGGTCCATTGCAATAACAGCTTTACTAATTAACTTTTTTTTTATTGCTTAGTTGGGTGGACGAGCTCACGACCCTCCTGATGTCAAGTGGTTACTGGAGCCCATAGACATCTACAACGTAAATGACGACACCCACCTTGAGATATGTAAGATCTCAGTATAATTATAACGGCTAACCCATCCTTCAAACCGAAATACAACACTGCTTCACGGCAGAAATAGACGGGGTGGTGGTACCCATCCGTGCGGACTCACAATACTATAATAATAATAATATAATACTAATACTATAATAATACTCACAATAAGTCAATTTGGAATATTGTTTTTCGTTACGTAATGGAATATATATTTTAATTAAACAAAATAATCTTAGCGTTTAGAGGTTATTATTTCCCTGTGTCAAAAGTTTTGATGAAGAATTTCTGGGGGCGCTTTGGTTACTACTATATTTTGCCCAAAGTAGGCGGTATATCAAAACAGTTTGAAAAGCACTACCACCTCTTACGTAAGCGTTATTTGCTCAAAGTACATTTGCCTTTTGTAGCCGCATGACGAAGTGTGGTGGTAGGTCATCATAACTTAGCATATAAGGCGAAGGAGAAGGAAATTGAAAGCGTTAACAAACAAGGGTCAGTCAGTGGGTCCCCGCGTGCCGCCAGAGAATAGTTTAGGGTGTTTTTGTTTGTTAAGTTGTTTGTTACGTTTAGCTTTTCGAGATGAGTTCTGTAGAAGCGGCTACGCGGTGCTCGGACGCCATTCGCGGTTAGAACGCCCTGGGGAAGTCGGTCGTCTTTCGGTTCGGTTAATTTGGGGGGTATAATAATAACTAGTGGTCCCGCAGTAGTCGAAATTCGACTATAACTTAACTGACTAATTCATTGAAATTATAAGTTTGAACATTATTGAGGTTCTATTGTCAAAGACAATTTTTATACTTCTATAATCACAGATTTCGCCGAGGCTACACTGTAGACAAATAATATTAAACATAAACAATATTAACCTATTCTAAATTTTACTACAGATTTTAAGCAATAACTAAAGTTTGACAATAAACAAAGAGTTTAAGTGTGTGTTCAAATACATGGTAGTGTGTGTAATGTTTTCTTTATTAATTAAATGTAACTTTTATGCATTATTTTAAAAAAATATTAGCACTCTTCACTTCTTTTCTATATTCTCTATAAGTGTGAGAAATTTCATACTCCTCCGTCCGCGCAATTTTCGTAAAAGGGGGTGCAAAGTTTTTGCTTCACGTATTAATATATAGATAATATAACTCTTTATTTGACACCACATGTACAGAGTAAGCATATAAAACAAATAATAGACGGTGACATAAATTGGCGGCCTTATCGCTGAAAGCGATCTCTTCCAGGCAACCTTGCAGGGAGAGGAATGAGCAAACTAGCATAGACGGTGCTATATCTTAATAAACTTACATAAAAATATATACTTATATACACATACACATATTGTAGTCGTCGCGGCCTAACGGATAAGACGTCCGGTGCATTCGTGTTGAGCGATGCACCGGTGTTCGAATCCCGCAGGCGGGTACAAATTTTTCAAATGAAATACGTACTCAACAAATGTTCACGATTGACTTCCACGGTGAAGGAATAACATCGTGTAATAAAAATGAAACCCGCAAAATTATAATTTGCGTAATTACTGGTGGTAGGACCTCTTGTGAGTCCGCGCGGGTGGCTACCACCACCCTGCCTATTTCTGCCGTGAAGCAGTAATGCGTTTCGGTTTGAAGGGTGGGGCAGCCGTCGTTACTATACTTGAGACCTTAGAACTTGTATCTCAAGGTGGGTGGTGCATTTACGTTGTGGATGTCTATGGGCTCCAGTAACCACTTAACATCAGGTGGGCTGTGAGCTCGTCCACCCATCTAAGCAATAAAAAATTTTAAAAAAAAATGTGAAAAATAAATACAATATAACATAGACTTACATACGAATAAATACTAAAAATATGCAAGTAAATACCATATAAGTAGCGACTTATACAGTTATATCGTAGGAGCCATATTATTGTGCATATGGGTATATTCACATAATGCGCATAATATTCATGATCAAAGAGCTATTTAGTATTTATCCACTTCGAAAGGCGAACGCTTCGACAGCGCTCTTTAATCTTTATCTCATTAGATTCGATTCGTTATTTAAAGAATAAATATATATTTAAATCGATTAATATTAAAACAACTGAGAATTCAGAATGAATCTTCTTTTATAGGGACCCCTCGAAGACTTGATCAAGACTACATACAAAAGTACTTAAATTTAAGCAAAGATCTGGCAAAGATCATGTTGCCACAAAAGAAAGCCGTTGCCGTGGTGAAGGTTGTCCAAAAAAAGGCCGATCTCACAAAGGACAAGAGAGTACTAGCTGCCCAAGAACTGGGCAAGCAAAGGCACAACGTCATACAAGTCTTGAAGTACACAAACGCGTCGCCAATCAGAAGGTACAATGACGCGGGCTACTTGTGCTGCTTCTGTACGCAACAGTACAAAGACCCTGCGGACTTAAAAGCTCATACCGCCAAGGAGCACAACAAAACCATAGAGCAATTCATGAAGGGAGTAGGACTCACAGCCTTCTCGGTTAAATTGGACATAACCAATTTAAAGTGCAAGATCTGTGACGCGACTATCGAAAAACTGGAAGGGATTTACGAGCATTTGTCGAACGCGCACGAGATACCGTTCCACGTGGGTTTAAAGAATCACATCTTACCGTTCAAGTTCAATGATGAGAACCTACGGTGCACGGCGTGCAATACTATTTTCGGTTCGTTCAAGTCATTGCAGGAGCACATGTATAGGCACTTTGGGGAACACGCATGTGACGTCTGCGGGAGCCAGTTCATGAACGCCCAAATGGTCAGGCACCACAAACCGAAGCACTTGAAAGGCAGCTTCGCTTGCAGTAATTGCGCGAAGACATTCGACACGGCCCGCAAGAGGAACAGCCACGAAAGAAGCGTCCACGTCGACGCAATACGAATGAACAAATGCAGCTTGTGTAACGAGAAATTCAAACATTACCACACTAAAATGCTGCACCTGAAGAACGTTCACGGGAGGGCGTCGCAGTTTCCGTGTCAGTCTTGCAACCAGTCTTTCGCCACATGGGCACGACTGTCGCAGCACATCAGAAAATTCCATTTAATGTTGCAGACTTTTAAATGTGCCTACTGCGAAATGAGCTTCGGCAATGTCGCCTTCCTCAGGAATCACATGGTCGCCAAGCATAATGGCGCGAAGAAATTTCAGTGCGGGCTGTGTTCGAAGATGTATGTCAGCAAGAAAACGCTCAGGCAACACATCAGGATACACATGAATGATCGTCGGTACAAATGCGCGCACTGCGGCGAAGGATTCGTCCAAAAGACCAGTTTGAGTGGCCACTTGAAAACGAAACACGGAATAGTGTCGTTAAATGTAATTGGAAATAAGATTATCAATGACGTATTTATTAGTTCTTTGTAGCCAGAGCGTGATAGTATTATTAGTTGATATATCATAATACTATTATAATAATATATACCTTCTATTTCATTCGATAAGCTTCTATTAGTGCTGTATCGGAGTGATGTAGGCAAAATAAAAGAGAACTGTTCAAGTCGACAATTCGTGTAATACTGTCATAATTTACAAATATGTATAAGGTTAGGCGAGCTGCACACTACAGTGCGAATATAATGTGGAAGCTTCACAACAAAGAGAACCGCCTATAACCAAATAAAATGTACTGGCATCTTAAGATTATCACAAAAACGATTGGTTGTCGGTAAAATGAGGATTATAAAAATCGGTTTACCTAGAAAAATGTTTTGTTAACCAAGTAATTCCTGTGTGCTTAGTGCGAGTTTTTTAACGTTCTCGATAGCGTAAAAGTTAGCTCATATTTGTATGGAATAGGATCGTTTTCCTATGTTTGCCGCTAGGGGCGCTGTTCCAACTACATACATAATTGGGTTAACTTTTACGCTATCGCGAACGTTACAAGACTCGCACTAAGCACACTGGTCTTTCTCGACTGCACGCTGCAGCGGAGTCGATGGTCGATAATGGAGGAAGAAAAGTATATTTACTAAAAACTATATTCTATGAGTCCTTAAAGTTAATTCCTCGTGACTTCGCTATCATTTGATTTGAAAAGTTGCTTATTCTCGAGGAAATGAAAGAGTACTATTTTTCTTCTCCCTCGCACGGTTTGCTTGAGCAGTGTTCCGCTTAGAAAAATTCTACGTGATATTCGTTTCGAATTTTTAGATAAATTGATATTTTTTATAATGTACCTATTAATACATAATAAAATTGTTCTTTCGATTTATATTAATATTTTCATTTGTATATGTGTATCCTGAAATTTCGAATGTCTTAAAAAAAATCATTAGTTTGATACTTTGTTGAGTTCATGTCGAATCAGTTTTAGATAACTTTAGTTGTGCAATCATACTTAAGCTTTTATAACCGTATGCCGTTCTTTTGGTTAACTCAACCAGATTGAGCAGAAAAACGCAATAAATACCACACCCTACAAAATACTCCGAAATGTTATATGTAAAATCAATGTATGTTCTAAACATTTGCGACTGATGTCTGCAAATCGAGTCGCCCTAAACACGTCATTACGGATCCTCCCAATCCATTAACGGTGCTTTTAGGTATCTCAAGCACCAGCCTCCTGCCTTGCGACGAGTAAATTAACCCATAGACACAGCTCACTGAGTTTCTCGATGTTCAGCCGGATCTTCTCAGTGGGTCGCGTTTCCGGTCCGGTGGTAGATTCAGCGAAGCACTGCTCTTGCTAAGGCCAGTGTTAGCAATACTTCCGGTTTGAGCCCCGTGAGCTCACCTTCACGTTAGGGTAAAGATGAAGTAGCCTCTCAAAGCTACCAGCATAGGTAGGAAAAAAAACGCAAATCAAACAACAGACATGAGATGAGAACATCGAAGAATTAACACCCATTAATTTGTCCGTAGGTGGTCAAGGTATAAACGAACCGAAAATTAATCGACCAGTCTCGGCGGATGCGAAAAAGAAACCTAACTACAAAAGTAATACAAGGAATTGCGAAGAGATGAAGAAGCACAAACACAACATAACGGAGATATTAAAATGCTCGAACGCGACTCCTTTGGTGCGCCATTTGGGAACGGGTTTCGTGTGTGGCTATTGTTCAGTCCAATTCCCAGATCCGGGCAATCTCAAACGGCATTGTCTTGAGAAACACCCGAATAGAACCGAAGCAATCCTCTGCCCCGGCTACAGGAATCTAAGCAAAGAGTATTACGTTAAACTGGACATAACAAACCTGAAATGCTCGCTATGCGATAACAACATGGATTCCCTGAAGCAACTTATGTCGCATTTGACGCAAACTCACAGCGTGGTTATACACACGGACATAAAGAACCGAATCGTTCCGTTCAAGTTTGAAGACGACAAACTCTGTTGTTGCATATGTCGTAACGAGTATGCGAAGTTTAAGCTTCTGCAGGAGCACATGCACAGCCACTACAGGAATTACGTTTGCGACACGTGCGACGCGGGCTTCGTTAACGAAGGCTCCCTGTCCAGGCACGTGCAGACGCACCGAATCGGCATATTTGCTTGCGAGCGATGCGAAAAAGTATACGACACAATGGCCAAACTGAAGAATCACCTTAGATCGGTACACGTAATGAAGTACCAAACTCACAGATGCGGCTATTGTTATAAGGTGTTCAGTTCGTACGAATCGAAGATTGAACATTTGTCCGCCGAGCACGGTGTAGTATCGGCCAAATACCCTTGTCAGGCCTGCGACAGGACTTTTGTTAACAGCAGACAGCTGAGGGTGCACATTAAGAAATTTCACATGCTCGACAGGCCGCATAAGTGTACGCATTGCGAGAAAACCTTCTTCTCCAACTGGGCTATGAAGAGTCACGCCCAAACGCATAGTCCTATTAAAATTGAGTGTAACGTTTGTCATAAAATGTATGCGAGCGCTAAAACCCTGAAAACCCATATGAGACTGCACAAGGACAGATACAAGTGTGATTTTTGTAGCAAATCGTTCGCAATGAAAGGCGCTTTGAAAAAACACCTCCAGATCATTCACGACATCTAAATCGTTTTAAACGTTTGTGGTTTTGTTTAATAGTATTAAAGGTTGTTATAAAGCATAATCCGTAGTGTTGGAGACTGCCAACGCTGCTCTAGCAAGAGCTAGATGCTAACATGCCGAACTATCTAAACCTCAATTTAATATGAAAAAACACCTTAAGACTGCGTTAAATAATAATGTTTATATACGCCTTTGGAATGTTTGAATAAATGTGTTATTTATCAACGAATCACTGTTTTTTTCCAATTTTTTTATTGCTTAGATGGGTGGACGAGCTCACAGCCCAGCTGGTGTTAAGTGGTTACTGGAGCCCATAGACATCTACAACCTAAATGCGCCACCCACCTCGAGATATGTTCTAAGGTCTCAGTATAGTTACAACGGCTACCTCACCCTTCGAACCGAAACGCATTACTGCTTCACGGCGGAAATAGGCAGGGTAGTGGTACCTACCCGCGCGGACTCCCAAGAGGTCCTAGCACCAGTGATTACGCAAATTATAATTTTGCGGGTTTCATTTTTATTACACGATGTTATTCCTTCACCGTGGAAGTCAATAGTGAACATTTGTTGAGAACGTAGTTCAAAAAAATTTGTACCCGTCTGCGGGATTCGAACACCGGTGCATCGCTACATACGAATGCACCGGACGTCTTATCCTTTAGGCCACGACGACTACATCCTTCGACCTGGGTCGTTTTCAAATTTGGGAACAAAAGCGAGTTATTTGAGTTAATTCTCATAACCTTAATGCTACCGTTATTATAAGTACAGTAAATACGTTGTAATGACAACAGGCACGTGGTCCTATAACGATATATTTGTAAACACTTAAATTAGGAGTTATACATTATAAACTACCCCAAATCTCATTCGTATCACTGGTTCGAAATTCAAATTCTAACTGGTTTGCTATTTTTACAGTAATGCGTGTTGAAATTCGGCAATTTTATTTAATCGGTATTTAATACAATAATAAAGGAAAACTAACTGGATATTAGAACATTATTAAAAACAAAAGAAGCACGATTTCTAAGCTTTTAAAAAAGTTCCTATTTAAATTGTCATCCGTGTTGGCGTTATCAAATGCGTAAAATGTAAAATATAAATCAATATTATATAATACTAGCTAACCTGGCAGACTTCGTAGTGCCTCAATCGATAAATAAAAGACCTTAACTTTTGTATAAAAAAAACTTTAAACAAACAAAAAAATCCATCCGACGGGGGACAAATAAAGGGAAAAACAAAATTGTTATTTTTATTTAATTCCGAGTATTTTCATATTTATCTACCTTTTAAACCTTCTCTGGACTTCCACAAATAATTCAAGACCAAAATTAGCCGAATCGGTCCAGCCGTTCTCGAGTTTTAGCGAGACTAACGAACAGCAATTCATTTTTATATTTGACTTGATTGTGATGAAGCATTTTTTATTCTAAACACGCATAAAAAAAACTTAGAGAAAGTTTAAATTCATTAATTCGTAACTTTGTTGGCCGCAAAACTAAAAACGACCCACCCATCTGTTTAAATAAATGTAGGCGATTGTTTTTTAGACCTTTCTTAGTCGGATACTCTTGGCAGAGTAGTTGTGGTTGTCGATGGACAGGGTTGTGTCTCGTCGCCGCTTGCTTCCAAAGCAGCCGCACATCCAGCGATGTCCCTCCATTGGAGACGGCTGTTAGCATTGCGAGCACATTGTACTGGTGTGGCTTTCGTAGCGCTGGTGATGAGGTCAATCCAGCGTATGGAGGATCGACCCCGAGGTCTTTGCCTTTTTTATTATTATTGTTAAGTGGTTACCGGAAATCATAGACATCTACAACGTAAATGCCGCCTTTGAGACATGAGTTGTAGGGTCTCACTTTTAACAGTACAACGGCTGCTCCGCCCTTCAAACCGAAACGCACTACTGCTTCACGGCAGAAATAGGCAGGGTAGTGGTACCTACCCGTGTGGACTCACAAGACGTTCTACCACCAGTAAAAATCTTTTAGACCTTATACAACTAATATTCAGCAATTTAATTGGAAGGTATGCTGGCGTCGGTCAACAATAGTAAGTTAACAGTCGTATCACCCCATGATCAAATTCGGCAATTGGCTTCTTAATTTTTTTAAGGGATTTTATGACCTGGTAACTAAGACCTTTAAGTCATGTCTTATTTTAATTTATATTATTATTTTTATGAAAAATTATAATATGGAGTGAAATTAAATGAAACGAAGGCAATTGGCTTCTTGTGATGCCATTGTTGCCAGTGTCGAGCTTATAAAAATCTATAGTTATTACATAAATACATACATTTTTCTGTAATATGAAGTGAAATGAGATGAATTTGATTAATTTGTGACTTTAATCGATTCGGTTGAAATTAAATGTAACACGATCGAATTCAATGAAACAATCCATTAGTTAAATAGTGAATATTTTTGACATGATTTTTTCAATTGACTTTTTGTAAGAACCACAGAGGCTACACGTCTACTAGTTCTGTTTAATTTTTCCCAATTTGTGCACTTTTATAGATGCTAAACAGTTAATTGCACATTTAAACCTCCATAAATGCTAAATTAACATAACAATTTAAATAACTTTGCTCCCTGCGTTCCCGCCAAAAAGTTAGGCTTTTAGGTTATCAATAAAATAGTAGTAGTAGTAGTAGTTTTATTTTTCCCATTGGAAAGGCAAAGGTATCATACTATACAACGTAATATTTTATATTTTTTTTATATGAAAAATGATATTATGAAATGGAATGAAATCATATTAAATGAGATGAAATGATATGGGATGAAATATAATCTCAGTAAAATGGTGGTCATTTACTCAGACTCTACCAGTGGACTTTTTGGGGGATCCAGAGAATTTACTCCCAGCGGCTTTGTTTCATTTTCCCACATTTGTACACTTCCACAGATATTAAACAATTTTTTTTATTTTTATTTTTTATTGCTTAGATGGGGGGACAAGCTCACAGGCCACCTGGTGTTAAGTGGTTACTGGAGCCCATAGACATCCACAACGTAAATGCGCCACCCACCTTAAGGTATAAGTTCTAAGGTCTCAAGTATAGTTACAACGGCTGCCTCACCCTTCAAACCGAAACGCATTACTGCTTCACGGCAGAAACCCACGCGGACTCACAATAGGTCCTGCCACCAGTAAATAAATACCCTGCCACCAGTAAAAATAAATTACCAGTTAATAAACCACCATTATTACGCATTTAAACCTGAACAAAATACTAAATAGTCAAAATAAAACAAATCACACAACTTCACTCCTCGCGTTCCCGCCAAAAAGTCTATTAATAAAATAACAGATGTGACATTTGACGAGCCACAGAGTAAATAGAACTACAGGATTAAAGTATCTGTATCAAAAAGCCATTGATCGCGTTATTAAACAAACGTCAAACATAAAGTTAAATTAAGAATATTGTTAATTAAATATCATTGTTCATTAAAGCATTATTGTTTTTTTTGTAATGAGCTATTCTATCCCTCGAAAGAGTTTTTAAATGTATTCAACTGATAATTATTTTTAATAAATGTATCTTTTTTATTTGTATGGTTTTGTTAATTTTAAGTATGTTTCAATGACACTATGTACACATATGGACTTGTTGTTGTTGTCTGAAGTAAAATAAATCATTCATTAATTAACTGCTTAAGAAAAAGAAAGTTCGAACAGCAGACTAAACGGAACTTGACTATAATTAAAATCACTTTTACGTTAAAATTCGCTTTTTTTTACTCTCATTATATTTATTTCCGTAGTGTCGAATACTTTAACATATTTTGTTGTCTTTAAATCGATCGTGTGTTTATGGTTATGGTACGTCTCTCAGATTAGTCAGAACTACTAATCCGTGTCTTCTTAATAAGGTCTCCTTAGATGACATGAGATTTATATGTAAAACTAGTTGAATCAGCAACCTTCGTGCCGCCATATTTCCTGAATCCCTAAATTCCTACGTGTTTTTTTTAATACTAGAGGTCCCGCAGTAGTCGAAATTCGACTATAATTAATTGGAATTGTAAGTTTGTACACTATTATGATTGTATTTTATACTTCTATAATCACAAATTTCGCCAAGGTTACACTATAAAAAACTTATTAATAAAGACAAACAATATTTAATCTATTCTCAATTTGACCACAGACGTCAAGAACAAAAGTTTGACAATAAATAGTATGCATGCGTGTGTGCGTCAAATAAATGGTATGTAGTGTGTGTAATGTTTTCTTTATTGATTTAATGTATCTTTTATGCATTATTCAATTCTTGTAGCAATTCTTAATATATATGTATATAATCTGAATCTCGAAAACGGCTCCAACGATTTTCATAAAATTTAGTATACAGGGGATTTCGGGGGCGATAAATCGATCTAGCTACGATTTATTTTCAGAAAATGTTGTTTTATTCGTGTTTTCAATAATCAACTCTTCTCGACATCCATTGGCGAATAATAATACTATTTTTCTTAATTGAGGGCAACTAACCGCTTTAAAGACACAACAAGATGGCGTAATCAAAAAAAAACCGAGCAAAGCTCGGTCATCATCTAGTATTCTCTATAAGTGTGGGAAATTTCATACTCCTCCGTTCAGGCAATTTTCATAAAAAGGGATACAAAGTTTTTGTTTCACGTATTAATATATAGATAACGGAACATCCTTAAAAACTACTGTAGATTTATATATTAGTATAGATTGTAAACACGGAACAATGCCCGAACTGACCAGAGAATTTCTTTATAGGTGGCCTTAATTATATCGCACGAAAGCAGAGCACTTATGAAGGTAACGATTTAAAGACCAAACATAAACCCGGCGTTGAGATATCGCTTCATCTACACAACGTCGCTCAGATACTGAAGTATTCAAACGCGACGCCGATACAACGCTACGTGCGAATGGGCTATGCTTGTTCTTATTGCGATAACCAGTACCGAAACCCGGGGGACTTGAAACGGCACTCATTAGAACAACATAAAGACGTAACGCAAGCAAGATTCATGAAGAAATTCAACTTGCCCAATTTTCTAATCAAATTGGACGTGACGGCCCTACGTTGTACGGTTTGCGGTGCTAACGTTGACAGCCTAAACGGGATCATCAGTCATCTGAGTGAGGTCCACGCTAAGACAATTCACGTTCTTGACAAAAACTACATTCTGCCGTTCGATTTTCGGAGTGACTTAAAAAGCTGCGCCCTTTGCAGCCACGTTTTGAACTCTTTCAAGAAGTTACTGGAGCACACAACCTCTCACTACACGAACTTCACGTGCGACAAATGCAGCGCCGGCTTCATCAATTCTAGCGCCCTGAAGAGCCATTATCACATACACACTGACGGCGCCTACAAATGTTCGTATTGCCCGAAAATCTTGAAGCATTTAAGACAGAAACACAACCACGAGAAAGTTCACAGACACAAAAATATGTTGTATAAGTGCTGGTTGTGCGCTGAGGCGTTTAACGCGGACGCCAAGAGGATACGTCATTTGAACGAAGCGCATGGCGTGGTGCCCGATTTGTTTAAATGTCGGGCCTGTGTTAAGACCTTCAAGAACCGCAAAGCTTACAAGTCGCACATAAAAAGGGATCATCTCATGGAGAGGCAGCACGCTTGTAAGGAATGCGAGAAGAGTTTCTTCAGGGCTGAGCAGTTGAGGGAGCATATGGTCAAGCATACGGGCTTGAAGCAATATGAATGTGACATGTGCTCTAAAAGATTTGGCGCTAAAGGTAGTCTAAGAAAACACATGCGAAGACACGAATACGGCAAATGACCGTATCAGAATTTGTGGCCTAAATGAAGCATCGCTTCGTTGCTTCTTCGATCTAATTACCCTAAACTATTAACTTGGAGTTGGAGGAGACGTGAGTGCGAGAATTTATGGCTTAAATGGGATGCTGCCTCATTGCATCTTCAATCTAGCTATCTTATCTGCGTGATTTGTAATCGTGTACAGATTTGCGGTAGTCATATTTATACGTTGGGATGTTGGCGATTGCATCGCAATTTTCCATGTTTCCTTTTCATTGCGCAAACCCATAGATAGACTACTGAGTTTCTCGCCGGATCTTCTCAGTGGGTCGCGATTTCGATCCGGCGGTAGATTCTGCGAAGCAGTACCCTTACTAAGGCTAGGGTTAGCAAATTCTCTCAGGTTGAGCCTGTGAGCTCACCTACCCGTCCGGGCGTAGCTGGAATAGCTTCTTAGACTATCAGCCAATTGTAGGGAACAAAAATGCAACAAATGAATAGAACACTCGCCGCTACATTGGTTTTATTGTGAGACAGTTGTTTTTCTAGACTGAAATGCACGATTTTGCAACAGATGTAGAGAGGGCGATATGATGATATAACCCATCCGCACAGGTATGCCCCAGCTCCTGTAAAGTTGAGGAGAAATTATGTGGAGGGAAGAAATAAATAGTAGTTAAGCACCGTGGATCATCGCGCATTCACCAGCTCCTGTCGAGCTAGTTTTCAAGAACATAGCAATATCCTCCGATTTCCATTAGAAATTTCGCTAAATCTAAGATAATGTTTCGCCTTGTTCACGAAATCCAACTCCGCTTAATCCACGTAATGTTAATATTAGATTGGGGTATTTACTTACGATGGGGCATATTCTGATCCAGGTTTCTTCGTCCTGGTCATTCCTGTCGCGATCAGGCATTTCAGTTTGAATCGTTATGTTGTACAATTGAAACTATCTCGTGTCTAAATTATTTAAAGGCATTTGTATTTGATGTTTACTGTCTCTAGTAAATACCTAATACATAAGCCGTAAGTTTGTCTACCCACATAAATAAATAAAACACGACTGTTTGTTTTTATGACAACCCTTTAGTCGTTCATAGTTGGTTATTTTTTAATAGCTATTGATAAAAATGTCTCAAATATAAATATAATTCTAAATAAACTGTATTTTATTTGATAGACTAATTTCTCGTTTTATTGTTTAGTCTGTTCCGTCTGGTCTATCTAGCTTGGTTTTATCTAGGAAACATTGGTTTTAGTGATGCTAATAGTATGTTTTTTTTTACTTTTTCATTTAAGAGGTCAGAGCTTCCAACATCAAGCGTCACACTTTTAACGCTTTCGTATGGTTAATATTTTTATTTATTTATTTTTTATGGCTTAGATGGGTCGACGAGCTCACAGCCCACCTGGTTTTACCGGAACCCATAGACATCGACAATGTAAATGCGTCACCCACGTTGAGTTATAAGTTCTAAGGTCTCAAGTATAGTTACAACGACTTCCCCACCCTTCAAACCCAAACGCATTGAAAATTGTTTCAGCAGTCAGGGATTCTAACTGCCAAATGATTTAGTCTCAGAAGTACTATACCAGTCGGTAAAAAAGGACGCAACTCTTATTTTTTACTGCTTAGATGGGTAAACGAACTCATGATCTACCTGATGTGAGGTATAGTTACAGTGGTTGCCCTGCCCGTCGAACCGAAACGCATTACTGCTTCACGGCAGAAATAGGCGGGGCCGTGGTACCTACCCGTGCGGACTCACAAGAGGTCTTACCATTCAACCTACCTACCTGGTCCTACCAAAAAATTGAACTTCTAGTTTCAAAGAGACATTCAATGTAGCATCTAATGAATAATTAAAATCACGAAATGCACTATAGATAATATCAGCATTAGGGTCTTTAAATTGGATAATTATACTAATAATTTATTGAAATATATCTTACGGCTTATATTTTATATTTTACGGTTACAGTCGTGTTTTTATCATCACTATATCATTAGATAAGACAGAGAGGGTTGGTTCCATGGTGTTTTAAAAAATGATGACTCCAGCGTTATTGACGCCATTCTCTTCTTCATTATCATTGCCTTCCATAGTGACAGTAATTAAAACTTTCTTTTCCAAACAATTCCTTTATTGAATTTCAGTAAACAATAACAACAGAGAGCTCCTCACCGTTCGGCTGTTCAAGTCGGAATGTTTTGAGCAATAATCACTCGTATTTATAGTGGAAAGTGGGGGTAGCTTAGTCATGAATTCTCTTGAATCCCGTCTTAAGCAGTTGTTAATATGCGTAGCAATAAGGAAACAGTTAACTGTAACTATTTTTAGTTAACTAAATAATGACGTTACGGCGACAGATACAATATGCATTATATTTTTCATGGTTCTACATTCGGTCCATGGTGCATTTCAACCAACCAATCAATCAATTAAAGAGCCCTTTATCCAAAACTTTTAGGACTGTTGTTTTTTTTTCTTTCTATTCTACAGAATGTCTCAGTTCATTGAGCCTATTGACATAGGCCTCCTCCAACATATTCCATTATTCTCTATCTTTAACAGCCTTCCTCCATTTCCTCCGTGACGCATTTACACGTGCAGAATAAATCTGGCGCTATTCAAACTACACGTTTTGTTTGTAGGTAAACAGCGCGGAGCCCTCAATAAAAAACTAATGATATTTATACCGAAACGCGAGACCGGTACGGAGAGAGAAAAAAAACGTATATTATTCTTAAAGAAAACGAGCTGTCACGCCGCCACCGTTAAGGAGATTTTGAGGCACACAAACGCTACACCGATTGGCCGGTCGCATGTCGTCGGCTTCTGCTGTTGTTACTGCAAGGAACGCTTCCCGATACCGGCGCTCCTCAAGGAGCACACGCTGACAACGCATTCCGACACAACCGACGCGGTATTCATGAAGAAATCACTAAAAGAGTTCGCCGTCAAACTAGACATAACGTCGCTCCGGTGCAAGATTTGCGGCAATAAGCTGGAGTCCATTATGGAATCCGTGGACCATTTGAAAGAGATACACAAAAAGAACACCTCCCCGGATTACATAAGACACGTAATACCGTTTAAATTTGATACCGACAAATACCAATGCTGCATGTGCTCGGCGGAGTTCGCGAAGTTCCAAACGCTGCAAATGCACATGCACACGTCGCACTTCAAGAACTTCGAGTGCGCGGTCTGCAGCGCGGGCTTCATCAACGAACGCCAATTGGGCTATCACATGAAGAATCATGCGATCGGCGAGTTCCGATGCAAGCATTGCCCCAAAGTTTACGACACGGAGACCAAAAGGAAGAGCCACGAGCGATCGCATTTCGACGCGAATTGCCACAAGTGTCCATACTGCGGGCAGGGGTTCGTGAACAACAGATATAAGTGGAAACACATATCCGAAAGCCACGACGTTCCCTTGCCCACGTACAAATGCAAAGCCTGCGACAGAACCTTCACGGAGTCAACCCTGTACTACATTCATCTGAAGCGGGATCACCTCATGGACCGACCGCACGACTGCGAGCAGTGTGATAAGAAATTCTTCACGAAATTCGCTTTGAGGAAGCACATGCTCTCGCACACAGGCGAAAGGGCGTTTCAGTGCAAAGTGTGCTTTAAGGCTTTCGGAAGAAGGAGCACTTTGACGGAGCATTTGAGGATACATAATAACGATCGGAGGTTCAAGTGTGAGCGATGCGGCCAGGCTTTTGTGCAGAAGTGCAGTTGGAGGGGTCACATGAGGAACAAACACGGAGTGGACGTGCAATAAATATGCCTAGTGTCAGGCTTTGGGCAGAGTTGTAGTTGGAAGGGTCTCATGAGAAACATACAGGGGATGGACGTGCAATACATATGTCTAGTGTCAGACTTTGGGCAGAAGTGTAGTTGGAAGGGTCACATGAAGAACAAACACGGGATGGAAGTGCAATAAATGTGTTTAATGTCAGGCTTTGTGCAGAAGTGCACTTGGAAAGGTCACACGAGGAACAAAAATGGAATGGAAGTGCAATAAATGTGTTTAGTGTCAGACTTTGAGCAGAAGTGTAGTTGGAAGGGTCACATGACGTGCAATAAATATATCTAATTTGGTTCTTTATTGAGATTTTTATTGAGATTGAGGTAACTATTCCCGTTATGATTCAGGTTGTTTGCTCTTGATCTGGGTTGCTGTGAATCTAAATACATGTAAATTTAAACGTAGTGTGTGAACAGTCTCTGGGTGCCATACAAGGAATCCTAGTTTAGGGTCAGATGATTATTAGTCAGTATTATTATTTTTGATGGAAAAAAGAAACAAAATCTTTTAGAAATGTTCGACACGGCGGTGCGCTAGTTTTAGTATTTTTGAAGGTTACTGGGCGAGTATCGGTAAGGGGAACAGAAAGAAGGATAGGCCGAGGCTAGGCAATTTTGAAATGAGAAGTAGATGCTATCACTGGTGGTAGGACCTCTTGGGAGTCCGCACGGGTGGGTGCCACCACCCCGCCTATTTCCGCCGTGAAGCAGTAATGCGTTTCGGTTCGAAGGGTGGGGTAGCCGTTGTCATCTTAGAACTTATATCTCAAGGTGCGTGGCGCATTTTCGTTGTAGATGTCTATGGGCTTCAGTAACCACTTAACGCCAAGTGGGCTGTGAGCTCGTCCATCCATCTAAGCAATAAAAATAATAAATAAAATGTACCTGCCTACCCGTCGCCGGCTTCTTGCAGACTGTAGAATTCAGGAAACGTGACTGATGGACGACGCGTAATGGCGGCGGTTGGCCTGACGGCCTGACAACACTCCTCTAAATTATTTCTGTTCACTAAACCGGTTCAACACTCGCACAACGACGACGACGATGATCGTCCGTAGGAGTTCGTAAGAGAAAGTAGCAAAGTCCAAATATTGAGACGAAACAAGCGGTCTTTTGACGAACTGGCCATGCGACAGGTTCGATGACCGGGCAAGTTGAAATGAGTTGACAAGTTTTAGGTCTACCCTCATCAAAAATAAATAACAGTCAAAAAAACTAAAAAAATACGCTTTTATAGAAAATCCAACTAAAAAATCTATATAATATAAAAATGAATTGCTGTTCGTTAGTCTCGCTAAAACTCGAGAACGGCTGGACCGATTTGGCTAATTTTGGTCTTGAATTATTTGTGGAAGTCCAAGGAAGGTTTAAAAGGTAGATAAATATGAAAATGCTCGGAATTAAAGAAAAATAACAATTTTGTTTTTCCTTTGATGTGTCCCCCGTTGGACGGTTTTTTTTGTTTGTTTTAAGTTTATTTTATACAAAAGTTTCGTTTTTTTATTTATCGATTGAAGCACTACGAAGTCTGCCGGGTCAGCTAGTAGAAAATAAATTTTAATAAATTTGAATTAAAAACAGTGTACGAAAAAAAAAATTTTATTGTAAAAAAAAGCGTGGGTTGAAATAATTACAATTTGCGTAATTACTAGTGGTAGGACGTGTTGAGTGCGCGCGGGTAGGTACCACCACCCTGCCTATTTCTGCCGTCACGCAGTAATGCGTTTCGGTTTGAAGGGCGGAGCAGCTGTTGTAACTATACTGAGAGACCTTAGAACTTATATCTCAAGGTGAGTGGCGCGTTTTCGTTGTAGATGTCTATGGGCTCCAGTAACCACTTAACGCCGGGTGGGCTGTGAGCTCCTCCACCCATCTAAGCAACAAAATAATATTAATCATAATAACAAGTACAACGGACCTGTAATTACAAAGAAAAATATTGCGTATTAAGAGAAATGTCACTTAAACCAAATAATCTTTCACACCTCGTTAAATTAATATAGTATATTAATAAAAAATATAGTATATTAATTTAACGAGGTCAATCAAAGTCAAACGAATTGACCCACGTACTGACAATTCATTCAAAATAATATTTTGTATTCAATAATGTTTTAATTAGTACTATTGAATATTATAGAACAATAATACAATGAATTTGTTATTGAATTGGCGGTAATAAATGAAGTACAGATGATTTTGTTCTGTTTCTTATCTTTTATTTACAAAGTCTTTGTATATAGCAAATATCAGCAAGATAGCATATTCCTGTGCTCTCAGTAACCTTAACCCACAATATATTAATTTTTTAATTTTGTTTATAAAAAAAAAATACATCTTACAAAATTTAATGGAAATTTCGATTTTGAGTTTTTGTTATTACAATAACTTAGAACTGCAATACATTACCTCCATTTTGATTTAAATATGTTTTGATAGAAAAATACACTTTTTTTTTAGTAAGAGAACATTTAATTCTAATAAACCTGAGTCATGTGAAAATACATAATATATACAAGTTATTTAAGTTAAACATTGGGTAACAATGTTTTTTTTATTTAATTATAAAAAGTAATAGAAAAAAAATTGTTATTGAAACACGTAATTAGTTACGTATTGAAACACCTAATCAATTCGGTATTGTGTCAAAATAATACGCCATTGTATAAAATTTTCTTCCTACAACGATAGATTGATCAATATCAAACAAACAAAAGCGTTTTAAAAAATTAATAGGATAACAAAAATAAAACTTTGAAATGGGTAAAAAAAAAATCATTTATTACCTTTCACATCGAAAACACATAGATTTTTACAGTAAAGAAAGAATCATCAAAATCGATTCACCTAGAAAAAATTTCTAAAGTAACACATAAAAACGTCTTTGCTTTTAAAAATTCTCTTTTTTTTTAGAATCGATTATGTAATTGAAATGAAAACATTAAAAAACAATAGACAAGCGAACTGCATCACATTTTCTTAATCTTGGTACTGTACTAGCAAAAATTGTTTTAGCCCTTTGAGTGCTGAGCTTATTTTTACATACCTAGCAAAAATTACTAAAATTAAAAACTAATACAAAAATCAATACTAAGTTAACGAAAATTATTTTGAAATGATTATTTATAAATGTTATTAACTTATTAAAAACGTTACACGTGCGCGCGCTAAGATATACATAGATACAGGTCGATATTTTACTGGTGGTAGGACCTCTTGTGAGTCCGCGCGGGTGGGTACCACCACCCTGCCTATTTCTGCCGTGAAGCAGTAATGCGTTTCGGTTTGAAGGGTGGGGCAGCCGTTGTAACTATACTTGAGACCTTAGAACTTGTATCTCAAGGTGGGTGGCGCATTTACGTTGTGGATGTCTATGGGCTCCAGTAACCACTTAACACCAGGTGGGCTGTGCGCTCGTCCACCCATCTTAGCAATAAAAAAAAAAACCTAATACCTATAATCAAATTGCACAATAGTCGGTATTTCGACGCTCCGCGCTTTACACGCGTTAAAATAGAGTCGATCTATCGACGGTTCGCGCTCAAAAGGTTAATTTATTCGACTTGGATGGAACCGCGGGGCTTAACATGAAGTTTTGTACGGCGTAAACTTGTTTGTCCATCCCCGCTAAAAAGTAAGTGACTCAGTTTAACGATGCAACGATAAGGTTTTTACTAGATACCTGTTTTTTTTTTTTGTATTGCTTACATGTATGGACGAGCTCACAGCCCACCTGGTGTTAAGTGGTTACTGGAGCCCATAGACATCTACAACGTAAATGCGCGACACACCTTGAGATATAGTTCTAAGGTCTCAGTATAGTCACAACGGCTGCCCCACCCTTCAAACCGAAACGCATTATTGCTTCACGGCAGAAATAAACGGGGCGGTGGTACCTACCCGTGCGGACTCAAGAGGTCCTACCACCAGTTATGACGCAAATTATAATTTTGCGGATTTCATTTTTATTGCACGATGTTATTCGTTCACCGTGGAAGTCAATCGTGAACATTTGTTGAGTACGTATTTCATTAGAAAAATTGGTACCCGCCAGCGAGATTCGAACACCGGTGCATCGCTCGATACGAATGCACCGGACGTCTTATCCTTTAGGCCACGACGACTTCGACACTAATTTGCTTTAGTCTTTTTTATAAAAATTACAATGGGTTTTCTTTAACATATAATCCACCAGTCGTGCTCCTTATGACTCCGATCCTTTTGCTTACAACAGCCTTTCCCAAAGTGGGCGGTAAGACACCCTGAAAAAAAATGAGGGCGCTGTATAGAGGCTTGGGAGGCGATTTGTAATTCCATCTAGAAGGACTTTTAGACACCGACTGAGCTCTCGCTATAGTGTTTTTCAATAGGTGAAAGATGGGGGCGCTAAAAAATATTTTATTCTCAAAGTGGGCAGTAGACTAAATAAGTTTGGGAGCCCCTGGCCTACAAGGACTTTTGTTCCTAACGGTATTGTGCCATCTAATCTCGATTTATGCTACTCTGAGAACAGCAGAGCATCGTGGCTAGCAGAGTCGATTGTGGGGCGGGTTTTATCAAACCAATGCATTGGGCTGCGATCATTTTCCTTCTACTTTGCTGGTAGCCACAAATATGACAAGATAGTTCTTCCACGGTTAAGGAATAACATCGTGTAATAAAAATCAAACCTGCAAAATCATAATTTGCGTAATTACTGGTGGTAGGACGTCTTGTGAGTCCGCACGGTTAGGTACCACCACCCCGCCTATTTCTGCCGTGAAGCAGTAATGCGTTCCGATTTGAAGGGTAGGGCAGCCGTTGTAACTATACTGGTACCTTAGAACTCATATCTTAAGTTTGGTGGCGGCATTAGCTGTACATGTCTATAGGCTCCAGTAACCACTTAACACCAGGTGGGCTGTAAGGTCCTCCCACTTAAGCAATAAATAAATAAAAATAAGAAAAATGGTAATCTCTCCGAAGTACTCTAGGATTCGTTTGAGGCTGATGCTAGGAAGCCTTGTTTTCATATTGAGCGTCGCGTGTATAGATGACGTGGAAGGTAGATAATCGTTCATTATGGCGGATTATGGAAGGGGCCTGCATCCAACAGTGGAGAGATACAGGCTACTGATGATGGCTTGTATCGTGGGTCTGCACATCGGGTAACGTGACGCGAGAACCCACGAGGATCATATGCCCAAGAAATCACCACCATAAGATTATAAAAGTGTGGGGAGATATACGACAAAGGGAAGATCTTCTACCGAGCGGGTGAGATTGCTCGGTAGACCGACGTTCCGAATGTTTGGGACTTATATATATGCAAGCTCATCTTGAAAATGTCGGAAGCGAGATTCAGGCATCTGTCAAATATCTTGTGTTCTGTGATGGCTACCGCCACAACATTATTTAATATGATCAATTTTTAATCATGTAGAGATCTTTGAAATGATTGCTCGCCATTGCCCTTGTCTGTCTGGCGGCTAGTATAGGCAGTATGACGGTGCCAATAGTTTCATCTATCTATCATTGCTATCCCAAGAGGTCTCACCGTATCTTAAGGTTGGCAATATCCCTTAAAGATGTTATATTAGCCTGTGCAAAACACCCAATTTTATGGGAGATCCAAATGCTGTTTAGCTCTTATATGAATCCTTTACAATTTTATATCGGACATTCTAACCTATGAGTTTTGTAGCATTGACTTTGCGATGTCTATGAGCTATGAAAACCAGCTAACAGCAAAACCCTTACTCGGTCAATTGTTTCAGTTGATAAATTAAAAAAAAAAACGATAATAAAGGTTTTTCTTTGTAGGTGTCGCACGGGGAACTAGGATCATCAGAATCGAAAAACAAAAGCCATCGATAGAAAGGAATTTCGTATCGTCTGACAAGCACACGGACGTGCAACAAAACAAGACTAATCTGATCAACATATTGTTATATTCTAACGCTAATCTGTTCAAGTCGAAGGACGCGCTCGGTTTTGAGTGCGAATTCTGCCTGAAGAGATTCCCGGAAGCCGGCGCCCTTAAAACACATTTCACCAACGAATACAGAAAGGTGAAACTGTCGAAGACAATGCTGAACAACATATTCCATCGCGTCGTCAAGGTAGACGCGACGAACTTGAGATGCACCATTTGCGACTCAAGCATAGATAAATTACATGACATGATATGCCACTTGAAGGATTTACACAGGAAATCAGTGTTTCCTGACGTCAAAAATCTCATATTACCGTTCAAGTTTGACACGGTGGAACTCCGATGCGCGATCTGCGGACTGGAGTTCGCCGCCTTCAAGAGACTCCAAGAGCACATGCACTCGCATTACCCGAACTACAAGTGCGAAACCTGCGGCGCCGGCTTCCTGACGGAGCAGCTGAAGGCTAGTCACGTGCGGCGTCACGGGTCCGGCCAGCACAAGTGCGATTACTGCGAGAAAACGTTCAACAACTCGCAGTACAAGAAGATCCACGTCGGGAGATCGCACTTGGGGCACACAACTCCGTTCAAATGTACGGTGTGCAACGAGAGATTCGCCCAACTATGGAAGAAGAACAGTCACATGGTGACAGCGCACGGCGGAGAGCCGGTCGTCATAAAATGCCAGGCCTGCGATAGAACTTTCCAGAGTAAACAGCACTTGTCCGTTCACACGAAGCGGGATCATCTGTTGGAGCGTCGTTATGAGTGCACGGAATGCGATAAGAGGTTCTTTATGAAAAGCGGTCTCTCCCGGCACATGGCTAAGCACGGAACGTTAAAGCAATACAAATGTGACGTTTGTCTGAAAGCGTTCGCCAGGAAACACACGCTGAGAGAACACATTAGGATACACATGAATGACAGGAGGTTTGCGTGCGTCCACTGCGGGCAGGCCTTCGTGCAGAAGTGCAGTTGGAAGAGTCACATGCGTTCGAAACACGGAGAAATCGTTTGATTATATTTTAGCATTTCACAGTAAAGGGTCTTTATTCGCGCGGTTTATGTTCCGTAAATACGCCGCGATTTCAGGAACTCATGAATAGGGATTGGCAGTTTATGTATACAGGATTTAATGTCATACGTTCCTAAGTGCATTGAGTAATAAGGTTCACTTCATCCTGTTTGTTTACATTCTCAAAAACGTCGAAGGCGGCTTATGTCAGGCGGAATCAATACAGCGGTGATATCATTTAACAACAGGTATTTTAATGGTGGGATAATTAAAATCATATATAAAAAGAAATTAGCATGACTAAGCTACGTTGATAATATTGAAGGAGTTTCCATAGGTAAAATATATTCATATTTTAAACAATTCACATTAAATGTTCTTAAAAAAAACATTATATTGCAAAAAAGTAGCGAAATATATTAACATATTTAAGTAATGGATTTTAAAATTAATATAAAATATTATATCTAAACAAAGATCTATTTTTATACTTTTAAATCCGTAGAATAAATCGTTACATGGATGAATAATTGTTGATCTTATGCAAAAAAAAACTACGCTTGTTTAATGTTTATTGACGTTTTACATTTGATCACTCGTTTTCGCACTCGTGCGCATTGTAGATATTATTAAGTGTTTCGTTGCGATATACCTGCATATTATATTTTGTTGTAATATAAAGTAATATAAATAATATTTAAGCTGATGATGATGTTAAAATAAATGGCAGTGTACTGACAGCATAATCATATGATATAACCTAAAATTCTTATCTTATTTTTAAATATCTCTGTATCCCCATGAACAATATTGATTTTAATTTGTTTATAATAAAAGGGATATATAATCTGTTATTTAAACTTAATTTCATTACTGTCCTTGAACATCGTTTAGTGGGCCGTGCAATGCGTGGAGAGTGGCCCATGTCCTTTATTTGCGATTCTTAACAATTTGAAAACTGACTAATTCGCTTATAATCTGTGCTTATTTTGGCGCCCGAAATAACGTCAAATAACTTTGACGTTATAATATTTTAACGTCTCGGCTACGGCTCTTCCGCGAAATTTTTGGCCAGACACATATTACTTACAAGTGGTCGCCCAGTATTCGAAATTCGACCATAATTATAAACTTAAATTATAAATTTGAACAGTATTAAGGTTCTATTGTCACAGACTATATTTTTTTAATCACAGAATTCGCCAAGGCAGCAAGACATAGACAAATAATATTAAAGACCAACAATATTAATCTTTTCTCAATTAGACCACAGACTTTTCAACAATAAACAAGAGTATATAATATGCGTGTGTGCATCAAATACATCGTAGCGTGTGTAATGTTTTTGAAGTGAAAACTTCTTTAGAATCGTTGTGATTTCAAACCGGATGCAACGGAAAAAACGACAGGTAAGAGACACAAATACAAAAATGTGTAGGATGAAGCCAGCAAAGAATGAGACAGAAATATACATACTATTTAATACAGCGCCATCTGTGAGATTTTTTAATAATAACGTGTATATGAAAGCTCTTCTAGTGAATTTTAATTTAGGATTATACGTGAAATTAAAATATCAATTCACAGAGGGCGCTACCTTACAATTATTTACTAAGGACAAAATTTTACATATACCTAAGACGTTTAGGATAATTGTATTTTAATTTTGGAAGGTTTCACTTCTACCACGTGTGAATTGCACACATGTTTTTTTTCTTTTCTTATTGTTTTAATGTATTTTTTATCTCTATATTCTCTATAAGTGTGGAAAATTTCATAGTTCTCTGTCCACGCGATTTTAGTAAAAAGTTTTTGCTTCACGTATTAATATATAGATTATCTATCTTGCCTTGTAAGAAACGAATAAACAATTTTGAAACATTTGACTAACTATAAGAATATTTGCTAAGAAAAATTGGCTCTACGAATATTTTTCAATTGTGTGTTATCTATATTTGGCTCTTTTGGTTGACAAGGTTGCCGACCACTAGTCCATATCTATAAAAGCCGATGTATCCGTTATAGATGTGGAATATTTAGTTTTCTTTTTTGGGAGAGGGACCGAACCTCCTATGAGGTATCTGCGCCTAGAGGACACCCAGAGTATGTGGGACTTGACGAACTGCAGATGTTGGGAACAGACCGCAGGCCCAAGGATATTTAGGGCGCTGCCTCACCATTTTCTTTTTTTTATTTGTTTAGATGGGTGGACGAGGTCACGGCCCACCTGGTGATAAGTGGTTACCGGAGCCCATAGACATCTACGACTTAAACTCCGCCACCCACCTTGAGATATGAGTTATAAGGTCTCAGTATAGTTACAACGGCTGCCCCACCCTTCAAGTTAAATCAATTAATTATCAATTTGCATCATATCATTAGTGCATCATAAAAATTTATTTTGAACGCCAATAAAACATAGAGAAGTCCTATCTAATTTTTATTTGCTTCAAAACTAATAATGTTAAGTACAAATAATTGTATGGAAATATAAATTTTAAAATCAATAAGTACAATAAATACGTTTTTATTAACAAGATGCATATTTTTATTTAGATAACGTACCCAAAATAATTTGCTTTTTATTTATTTATTTATTAGATGGGTGGACGATCTCACAGCCCACCTGGTGTTAAGTGGTTGGGAGGCCATAGACATGTACAACGTTAATGCCGCCACACACCCTGTTATGCACAAACATTAGAGCAGAAATATGTTTAAAAAGTGCAAATGAAGATCTGTGTTGTCGTTTATTATACATATATCCGGAATACATATTGTGAATACATAGTGATGCGTGCGACCCCTTGTTGGAGTTTTAATATGTAAGTAATGGCAGGCAACACTTGTCACATGTGAAATTACAGTTTTCGAATATTGGAATGTTTATTTAAACTAAAGGTCCCGCAGTAGTCGAAATTCGACTATAATTAATTGGAATTGTAAGTTTGTACACTATTATGATTGTATTTTATACTTCTATAATCACAAATTTCGCCAAAACTACACTATAAAAAATAATAACAAAGACAAACAATATTTAATCTCAATTTGACAACAGACGTCAAGAACGTCAAGTTTGACAATAAATAGTATGCATGCGTGTGTGCGTCAAATATATGGTATGTAGTCTGTGTAATGTTTTCTTTATTGATTTAATGTATCTTTTATGCATTATTTAAAGAAAATATTAGCATTGTGCACTTCTTCTCTATATTCTCTATAAGTGTGGAAAATTTCATACTCCTCTGTCCGCGCAATTTTCGTTAAAAGGGATACAATGTTTTTGCTTCACGTGTTAATATATAGATGTTCAAAAAAGAGGATTGTCTTCTCTTCAGTCATGGCAATGACTTCTCATCTATACACGGATAGTGCAACATCTTAGGGTTTTATAAAAATTAAATATTGTATAGGTTTAATAGTGTACAAAGTGTTTGTAATATATAACATAATACCCGCCCTCGCTTCGCTTCGGAAACTGTAATTTATTATTGATTTCTCCACTATTTAATGGATTTTATTATACATATATAAACCTTCCTTTTCAATCACTCTATCTATTAAAAAAACCGCATCAAGATCCGTTGTGTAGTTTTAAAGATTTAAGCATACATAGGGATATAGGGACAGAGAAAGCGACTTTGTTTTATACTATGTAGTGATTTTTTTTCTTTTTTTTTTAAAATAAATAAATAATAATAAATATTTACTAACAATCACGCCACGTTAACTGGTCCCGTGATAAGTTCGTAAAGAACTTGTGTTACAGGTACCAGATAACGGAAATAAATGTAAATTTTTTATTATACACATACATATATTTAATATACATCCATAACCCTGGAAAAGACATTTATATTTATCATACAAATATCTTCCCTTGGCGGCATTCGAACCCGCGACCCCCTTGTGTAATGACCATGTCACTTACCACTACACCAGACGGCCGTTCAATGATTAACCATGAAGCGATTAACCATGAAGTGATTAACCATGAAGCAAAGTGTTTTTTAAATAGCCCCTCACCTCCAGAACCCAGTGCCCTCATATAGAACCGTCCAACACCCCTGATTCAAATTCTACGGTGGATACCCGTTTAGAAACAGATTCCACTCGTATGAAATTCAGCGTTAAATGCAAATGATTTACAGATGGTAGGACCTCTTGTGAGTCCGCACGGGTAGGTACCACCACCCTGCTTATTTCTACCGTGAAGCAGTAATGCGTTTTAGTTGAAGGGTGGGGCAGCCGTTGTAACTATACTTGAGACCTTAGAACTTATATCTCAAGGTGGGTGGCGCATTTACGTTGTAGACGTCTATGGGCTTCAGTGACCACTTAACACCAGGTGGGCTGTGAGCTCGACCATACATCCAAGCAATAAAATAAAAAAAATTACGAAGAATCACTTGCTATATGTTCGCACGGCTAAACAAGTCAAATGTGCTGAGTTTGAAAACTTTATTTGATGTTTTCTAAAAAAACGTATTTTTGGAATAGATCTCTATAATTCTAAAGGTGCGAAGTGTAATTGGAATATAAATATGCGTCATCACCAATGTTGTAAGGAGTATCTTGAGAATGGAAGGGTCACACAATCCTGCCTATTTTTCACGCGTAGCAGTCACATGTCTCGGACTGAAGGATGGGACACTATTGCAATATATTGCGAGTTTCACTTAACGTCTCGCGTGGTGATGCCCATGGGCTCCACTACTCAACGTCGGGCCCCCACAAACACAGCCCACTGAGTTTCTTACCAGATCTTCTCAGTGGGTCGCGTTTCCGATCTGGTGGTAGATTCTGCGAAACACTACTCTTGCTAGGGCCAGTGTTAGAAAAACCTCTCAAGTTGAGCCCGTGAGCTCACCTACCAGTCCGGGCGTCTGGAATAGCCTTTTAGGCTACCAGCGAATAAGTAGGGAAAAAAGTGACAACTTTTCAGAAACAACCGTTTTTGTTGTCCTGCTTAGAATAATCAATCTCAATTCTAAAAGACATTAACTAATAACAAAATGTCATGGAAACTTGTCGTTTACAGATCCCGTAACGCGCAGCGGACGTCAGAGGTCTTCCGGCGACGGCGCTCCGACCAAACTGAGTTTGGACAAGAAATTAAACTTTTGCTCGTTCATCACGATCAGACCGGTCGGGAAGAGAGTCCTGCCGTCCGTCAGGGAGCGCCAGCAGAGGATCTCGTATCAGAAACGGCTCACTGAACTGGACTGGCATTTCGATAACATCAAAACGATTCTGGAATGTTCGAACGCGACCCCGATGAGGTGTCGGGTAGGCGCACGGTACGCATGCAGCTACTGCCTGGACCAGTTCGCGGATCCAGCGAGCCTGAGGCGACACACGACCAAAACCCACGCAGGAGACTCGCCGGACTTCTTCAAGTTACGCTCCCTCTCCAAGCACGTGGTTTATTTGGACATAACCGATCTGATGTGCACGATTTGCAACGTCAACATTGACGGTCTGCAGCATTTGACCGATCACTTGAAGAGCACACACGACGCGTTAATACACAAACAGATCAAGAACCAAATCGTTCCTTACAAGTATAACAACGGGAAGTTGCTCTGCACTATGTGCCCGACGGATTTGGAACAGTTCGCCGACATACAAGATCACATGAGGGAGCACTTCAAGAATTACGTTTGCGACTTTTGCAATTCCGGCTTCGTTATTAGAAGCAAGCTTTTGGAGCACAAGAAAACGGTGCACCTAGTTTAGCGGACGGATCAAGGAAGCTTTGTAATTCTAGAGCAGAGGGTTTCCAAACTTATTTTGTCTATTGCCCCCATTTTTTCACCTACTTAAAAACCATTATAGCGAGAGCTCAGTCGGTGTTTAAGAGTCCTCCTATATGACATTACAAATCGCCCCCCAAGCCTCTACACAACGCTCCCATTTTTTTATGAGTCTCTTACCGCCCCCCTTCAGGCCTGCAGAGCTCACAAGGGAGCGTTATCGCCTACTTTGGGAAAGGCTGTTCTAGAGGGAAAAGACTAAATTTAAAAAAAACTAAACTCTATCTTTGTCTTTACATGAAGTGCCTCGAAGCCAAGGATCATAATAGATGGGGGAAATTGTACATGAGAAAATGCTGCAGCAGGGGAGAGACGCAAGGAAGAGAAATGTTAGGAAGGAGAACAAGATCTCAAAAGACGCGGCGTCCGCTCCGTAATAGACTTAGAGGATATCGAAATTCACTATGGGCGTACGTTAAAGCACTGTCAGAGTGGGAAGGGCGATTTGAACAGTCAACTTTGATAAGAATGTTTCCACGGGACATACTTGTACGGGTTTCTTAATTTGCTGTGATGAACAGACGAGAACTTGTGATTCGGATGGTGTTCGACAATCCGGCAGTTTAAAAACAATAACAAATATTGAGATTGTCGCCTTAATTATTATTTTTCATACCTAAGCTGAGAGCCTTGAGACGCTATATCAGCGTAGCCTTAACGTAGTATATTAGTAGGTGAACTTACGGGGCTCGTACGAGGCTCAAACCTGATGACGTTGCTAACACTGACCCTAGCAAGAGCCGTGCTTCGCAGAATCTACCACCGGATCGGAAACGCGACCAGAAGATCCGGCGAGAAACTCAGTGGACTGTGTCTGAGGGCGGTTAAAATCTCGTATCATCTACGTGTATGATTGACTCGGTGTTGCAGTAATTAACACACACGACTGTATCACCAGCATCTTAGGCTAAAGTCGTGACCTAAAGGATAAGACGTCCGGTGCATTCGTATCTAGCGATGGAACGGTGTTCGAATCCCGCAGGCGGGTACCAATATTTCTAATGAAATACGTACTTGACAAATGTTCACGATTGACTTCCACGGTGAAGGAATAACATTGTGTAATAAAAATCAAACCCGCAAAATTATAATTTGCGTAATTACTGGTGTTAGGACCTCTTGTGAGTCTATACGGGTAGGTATCACCACCCTGCCTATTTCTGCCGTGAAGCAGTAATGCGTTTCGGTTTGAAGGATGAGGCAGCCGTTGTAACTATACTGAGACCTTAGAACTCATATCTCAAGGTGGCGGCTTTTACTTTGTAGATGTCTATGGGCTCCGGTAACCACTTAACACCAGGTGGGTTGTGAGCTCGTCCATCCATCTAAGCAATAAAAAATCAAAAATAAATTAAATCTTAGGCGTCCAATTTTAACAGTTTTTTATTGCGTTCATTGTAAATACCATTTAACTTATATTATAATATATATTATTATATATATATATATATATATGTCAGCTCACGTCAGGGATGGCTGAGCGGTAGTTTCGTCATCACTCGTATTCGATTGAACTCAGTTTAGTCAATAAAACTTTTCAATAATAATTATTGAAACTCAACACACACAACTTTCACAATGACAGGATAAACCGACAGTTTCGTTGCACATACCGACAGACCGACTGACTGAGACGGACGGAATGACTGTCTGACACGGAATGCCACGACTCTGTCCACGTACCGCCATTTTATACTGTGGCGTTACGTAGTCTACCCTTCATTTTGTGATATTTATCAAAACAACATCTCATCATTTAAAATAATAATCAAAACCACCGTCTTAATATTACTAAAANTAGCTGAAATACTAGCTAGACCAGCTATTTGGAAGTCTAGCCACCCAAAGTATTTCTCGTACTTCTTGTGGAATTCTCCATCTTTAGGTATACTCCGATTCTTATTCAAATCATGTACTTCACAATATTTTCCAAATAATAGGTCCTGAACCAAAAAGCTATTAATTTGTAAGCAATATCGAGATAATTTCGATATAGACATTTCGCTGTCGGACTTCCTTACTAGTCGCGGCGGCGAACGTGAGTACCCGTGGCCTGCAAACGGTGCTGCGCGAATGGTCGCCTCGTCCACCGCTTCGCTGTTCGCACCGCCGATCCCCGTGGCCAGGCCGTAAAGTATGCTTCCACGAAGCTGGAAATAAAACACTAACTTATCAGTAGCTATCTTAATTTGCTATTGTTTTCTTCATAATCGGCACTACTACAAACCTTTTTCAATCTATTAAAACCTTTTTCATCTAATACTTCGTATTGTATGACATGATATAATGAAAAAAGTTTCAGTTATCTTGAATAACCAACAACACATCTTACTTAATATACGATTTATTTTCATTGCTCTGTAAAACAAAAACACAACATTCACAATATATTGTTATTTGTAATGTTAAGTTAGTTAGTTCTCAAATTCTAACTAGAAATAAATGTCACCATACACTCCTACTTCACTCAGCGCCATATTTTTTCATATCCGTCACCGCTCCTTCAAAAAAATTCCACAAGAAATCCCAATTATTTTTCCGGCAGTGCCAGCAAAATTCAAATTACTGAAAAACGATCTTCTTTCTTCTAAGTATGGCAATTGGCTTCTTGCGACGCCATTGTTGCCAGTGTCGAGTCTATAAAAATCTTCGATTATTTAATAAATATTACATAAAAAATGTAAATGTTACATAAAAATGACATGAAACGAAATAAGATGTAGTTGATTAATTTGAAACATTAATTAATTGAGATGAAATTCAATGAGACGAGATTAGATAGGTTTAAAATAAAATCTTAGTAAAATGGTATTTGTTTATTGAGACTTTTTTAGTGAACTCAATAGAAGAAGCCACGGTTTTGTTTTATTTTCGGGTATTTGTTCACGGACGCTAAACAGTTAATAAACCACCGTTATCACACAATGAAGCCTGAGAAAACATTAAATCAGCCAAATAAAACAATTCACACCACTTCGCATTTCGCATTCCCGCCAAAAACCAACGGACATTTTCATTCGAATCGAGGAGCATAAATAAGACAGAGAAACGTTTTATAGTTTTCTCTATCTATTCACTGGTGCTTTAAAGCCAATCCCAGTTACGTGCGGACGGTTAGGTGAGATCACGGACTCAACCTGAGAGAATATACTAACACTGGCCCTAGAAAGAGCAGTGCTTCGCAGAATCTACCACCGGATCGGAAACGCAACCTTCTGAGAAGATCCGGCGAGAATCTCTGTGTCTATGGGTTAATTTACTCGTCGAGCCCTTCGTCGTAAGCTACGGGTTCGACGAGGACGTTGACCGGAATATTTTAAGTTGTAAGCAATCCATGTTCACAAAGCAACAAACACTAATTAAGTGTAATAGTAGTCGTTTAAAGAGACAAATCTTAATGAGGATTCGATTTATTATTCTATAACAGTATCACTACATAGTATAAAACAAAGTCGCTTTCTCTGTCCCTATATCTGTCTGTTCTTAAGTATGCTTAAATCTTTAAAACTACGCAACGGATTTGACTGCGGTTTTTTTTAATAGATAGAGTGATTGAAGAGGAAGGTTTATATGTATAATAACATCCATTAAATAGTGGAGAAATCAATAATAAATTACAGTTTCCGAAGCGAAGCGAGGGCGGGTCGCTAGTTAAGTATAATCAGCTGTTGTTATAAGGGCGACTTACACAATAAATTTTAGTGGACGATTCATAAATGTTGGCCCAGTAAAAGACATTTTGGCTTTCACCGAAAAAAAGCAATCCAAATGCTGTTTGATTACACTCCCTTTATTTCAACAACTTCAAATAGGTTTTAAAGTACACTAATTGCCTTAATCGATACGCTTTGTAAAGTAAGTCTTGCTTCTGTCCTCGCTCAATCAGTGTGTCGTTCGCCATTTTGCGTGCATCACGCCGCGCCTCTTTGTGCCAGGGCGGAAGTCAACAAAATTTAGGATAGTCATGAAACTAGAATTTAAGTTATAAAATAATCATTAGTCTTAGTCTGTTATTATTTCCTACTTTTAATCTTTACATAAATAATGGGCACGAGGATTGATTCTAAATAAATGTATTTTAAACATACTTCAACAGAGTTTGCTATTAATATTTTACTATGTTTCTAATTACGGTAATTTGAATAAAATGATCCTAACAGCTCGGCCTTCCTGCAATATCACGAGTCCCTTCGTGATGCTTGTATGTTATACAGGAACAACCATTCTCTTCCTGTCTACTTGCAATGCCTTATAACATAGTTTAAAGTATTACATTATTAGGACGGTCTCAACTTTTAATCGAGGCGAATCTCATTAGCATTAACGTCACTGGTTACATTGATATTATAATCACCTAAAACGTCACTACTGCCTACATTTACGTCAATTACCCGCTTGATCGTTCCTGTCTTCATCATCATTGTCTTTATCATCCTCGTCATCGTTTTCGCTCTAGCCATCATCGAAGTTTCGATTAAAGCTTATCCAGGGTTGAATTTTGTCTATGGCGAAAACACTTCGTAACGACGACCGCCCTTATGAGACAACGAAGCGTCTTCAACTAAGAATCTATCGTGTTCCAAGACTTTCAAGATGCGGTAAGGACCCTGATATTTCATTAAAAGTTTCTTTGGATGACCATCGTTGGACACATGCTTTTCTATTCGGATTAGGTCTCCTACTTCATACTTTTTACACGGTTTTCTATTTGTATTGAATCGCTCAGAATCTTTTTCTTCTACAAGAGCTCTGTCTTACAACAAGAGCTCCTTGATGTGTGTGAAAGATTTTCCTCTATGTTCGTTCCATATACACTCTTGATCCTTCTTAAGATGTTCAGTTAGAGGCGCAGCTACCAATGCGTAGTTTTGATAAATCTTATAAAAAACCCCGATAATCCGAAAAATTTACGTAGTTCATGTT